GTTGCAGTTGAGTACATGTAGTTGTGGTTGTAATTGATGTCAGAGATAGGTCTACAATACGAGTGAACTCCAACTAGGCCACTTGTTTCAGACTATTGGTTTGTGGGACTAGATTTGGGGAGAAAGCATTTAGTGCTTCCTCGTCTGTCTAATATTTTTTGTCTTGTACTAGCCTTTCACAAGGGTCTACAAGACTAGTCTGACCCTTGATGTACAGTTTTGTTGCTCTTGTTTCAGTGGACATAATTCTATATGTTTTTCTATAGGCCGCTATTCCAAAATTATATTTTCTTTCAGTTTTGGTATTATGTTTTTGAAAAATGAATCAAATATTATTTGTCCATCATCAAGGGACATGAATGAGCATTCTTCAATTTGACATCTTTGATATCTATTCATGACCGAGTCTTACATTTCTAGAGAGTTTGGAGTTTGGAGTTTGGTCTGTAGTTGTGTGAGATTATGTGATAACACTAAGCTTTAGCCTCCTTCCTGTAGTGTGATGTAAGTATAATCCTACTGACCAATACCCACTGATTGACCCATGTACTCGAAACAATGGTGATCGTTGGACTCCCATGTCATTGTACTGTAAATACACACTCAAAACTGTTGTAAATCTTTCAACAAGCGTATTGTTGTGGTCTAACAGTAATCAGCCTGAATGTGTTAGGAATATCATGATATGAATATCGCTTGAAATAAATATATAGCAAACTAAAATAAAATTAACCTGGTTGCAGCTGAAGTTAAGTGACAGTGGAGTTACAAAGTAGTGTATAACTTTACCTTTGATGTTCAATGGTAAATTTTTGTGTTTAGGCAATAAAATAATTTCATGATTGGAAAGAAATATGATTCATAATCTCTGGATTCATAGCATTAAGTAATGTCCTGCTTTGAACCCAAATTATTTTTATTGAATTAAGATTCTTATTTAAATATGTACAATTCTTTTTTATCATTTAGAAATTACCATACACCACACTGAGATTTCTTATTACTGGATTTGTTGTGGGTCCCGACACCACACAATGGGGTTCTTGGAGAATTCTTACTATAGTAGTTCAGCATGCAGAGCCCACTCTTATCCTCCTGACATTTAATTGTAAAGTTGATGTCAAGACAAGGATCCAATGATTTCCCTTCACAATATCCCAACCCCAACATCTCCCTTTATTTCAAAGGCTGCCGTCTTATTGCAAGGTTTCAATGTTGCCAATCCAAATCCTGAAAACCTAAGTATTTTCTGAAGTGCAATGTTTCAGGAACACAAATGCATGATGCTTTGTCAGCTTAGATAAATCTTGAGGAACTAAGTGATGCAGTGTTCAACAAAGATGGCCATTATGAGGATGAACGCCTTGAAAAGTTTTCCAGTATTGCTAGATAATTAGAGTTTATTTACTCAAGCAAAAGCTCTGTTTATATACCATCAACATAAGATTAGATTTTAAGAGTGACAATTATTTTGCTTTGAAGCTGTTTAATGTTTGAAGTATGCAATCAAATCAGTTGCATGGTTGCTTCAGCTATGGTCTGTGATGCATACCATGTGGTTGAGTAGTAGCTGATATCACGGATAAATATTTATCTTCTGTTTCTCTTCTCGTGTCAAACAACCATCTTTAAATTCAATGCTTTTTCCATTCTTTCTTGATTCACTTGAAGTGTCCATTTTTTTCCTAAACACATTCTTTTGTTTCTCTTCAAATCTCTTCATCTGAATAATAATGTCTCTATCTAAATAATTGTTCGAGGACCATATTCCTTGGTCTGGTCCGCATGTCCAGTCTAGGTCTAAGCTTTGTTATTAGTGCTGTGTGAAACTCATTGTCTCTTGTGCAATCAGCAGAACAGACAGGGGCAATAGGGTAGCCCAGTGGTTAAAGTGTTTGTTCATCCCACCGAAGTCCTTTGTTTGATTCTCCACATGGTTACGATATGTGAAGCCCATTTCTGGTCTTCCTGCAATGATTGGCTGAAACATTACTTGGAACTAAATATTGTTGGGAAATTGCTGGAATATTGTATAAATTGTGTGGCATTAAACAACAATAATCTACACAATGAACAGGTTTAATTTTTGTTAGTTTGAGACTAAATATAACATGTCTTAAACAATGAAACCTAACCTACATATAATATATATTTACAGACTGCACCACACCTTAACATGATCCATAGTGTATTTAATTGAAAATAAACTGTATTAAATTGCATTGTTAAAAATTAATCTAAATGTACTAAGAAATCTGTATAAAATGAAAATAGATGTTCACTGAAAAAGAATAGGTTTAATACTGCATCGCTATAAAGGAGTATTGCATAAGTGTGTATCTGCAAGTCTTTTAGATTTTCCTCATTAAATTGAAATGGAGTCACCATCAGTGTGGTTGACATTTGCTTATCAAAGCATCGGGTTGCTAGTCTGTTGCAAACGTCATGAAGGATTTAATTATATCATTTCAAAGATGGTTTTCAACATGATGCCTTTTAATCTGGATCAGTTTCAATAAAATATTCATCCATCTGGCAATGTTTTATGAATGCTAAATTTCACAGTTTGCTGCAGTAATATTTATCTGAGCTGACATAATACTGCAATATTATTCTTCAAATTTTAAAAAATCAATCTTTTTAAAATAATGAAAAACTAAACTTGGTGTTTGTCTGCTTTTCACAACATTACTCCACATAACACATCCAAAATATGAGAATTTGTACCGTTGTGTTATAAAGAGATCTAACTAATTTCATAGAACAACAGAGACACCATAAATGCCAGATCATATGTCATTGAGAACACTGATCAACTGAAATGTTTTGCCAAGAGCTAAGTGTATTCAAAAAAACTTCAGCACGTCACATTTTCATCATCCCATATAGTGGAGCCTTCCATTCAAGCAGTATCTCCATTGTTTTGTTTCAGGGTTTTATTGCTAGCATGCCAATTTTATTATGTAAATATTGGCAGTTAATGTTTGGTCCCCTGTGATTGCAAGCTATGCCTGAGGGGACCTGGCAATAATGACTTTTAATTGCTAATAAATGTAAGTGTTTCAGTATAATGGGTGGTAATTGATAATAGACTTCAGTGCATTAGCTGGAGCTAAGGCCAGTTAGACCCATGAGTAGCCCAGTGTCTGCTTAATGAGGCAGTGTTTGGTGTACGCACACAGCCAGAGAAGCTTTGTAACACATGATCCGCAGCCTATTGTCTCCAGATTAAAACTGGTGGCAGCGCAGACTACAGACAGGTGAGCCAAGCAGACTGCTCACATCAGACCAATGGTATATTGATTGGAGGGTATATAGTGTGGGTTGTGACAAGATACATAGTCGGTACAGGACAGCCAGCTGCACTAACCTCTGGATGCTTTAGTATTTGACTTACATATCGGAAAGTTAGCAACACAGTTTGATAACAAGCAATCAGAAGTGCCTATTTGTAGACGTCAGTATTTCACCAATTTGAAGTTGGAGCTGAACATGCATCAGGAGCTTCTGATGTTGACCACCTGTTCTGTTGTGCCAAGATTTGTGTAGGATCTATCTGCTGTGGAGTATTGTGGACTGGGTATTTGTGTTTGTGATCCTACAGTAACTAAAGCATGCTCTTCTCTATAGAGAGGATGTTGACGGAGGAAGGCGACAGCCAGGGTCAGTACATTGGGTTAGGATAGGATCCGGTATCAGCAAACTGCTGTTACTATGGATATGCATTTTTATTTAATGTTCATACACTGAATTTTAATTTCCTGATAATTGCATCACCAATTCCCAAATTTGTTGTAATTAATATTTTGATTTTTCAGCCACACATCAAACATAGTTTATAGTTAATGAAGCCATTGTGTGATGCGAGTTTACGTTTTCAACATCTGAAACAATGGCTGTTTGGTTGGGACAGTATCAATCACAATGCAGTGGATACTATTGTGAGCCAATGAAAAGAAAAACATGTGCTATTGACATCAAGGGCATAATTATTATCCTCGCTCTGGGCTGCACTGTGTTGTTTTAAGCCCTGATGAAGCACTTAAACATGTGTATACAGTGGGTCATGCACCTAGCATTGTGTAATGTAGCTGTATTTTTTTATCACAACAGTGAACTGCTCAGTCAGTTTGACAGTCAACATTTATATGCTAGTGGCTATGTCTTTATCAACAAGACCAGCGTACCCTGTAAGAGGTCTGTCAGTCAGGGCCAGCTTCAAGTGTGTATATTGCACTCAGGGGCATGGCATTTATGCAACACTAGAATCCTGTTTGTTGAAACATTTTTGAATGTAATCAAAACTTGTATCAAGTAATACTGACATTGGATTGCAGTGATTTTCTAATTCTTCCTGTTTCCTTTATTCCAAGTGAGGGTGGTTTAGCCCATTGGTTAAAGCATTGGCTTGTCATACTAACGACTCTGGTTCAATTCCCACACATTGGTATGGTGCCTTGTTACTGCCATGATGATGACAGAACATTGTATTACCCTACTCACTATTATTTCAAGTTGATGAAGGTTTCTAGATTTGATCCTGGTTTCTTAGGGATTATTCCAGTCTCTCATATAGAAATTGGATGGTCTGGGTTTGATTCCACACATAGAAACTGTATGCTTTTGTTCTGCTCCTCACTGAAGCACATGTGGTGTCTCCTCACACAGGTGACTGTGTGAAATATGTTTCGGTTCACCCAGCATTGAATGTTAACCTTCTAGCGCCTCACAGGCAGCATGGGTTGTATACTCCCCAGGGAGCTGAGAATGAAAATCGAGTGCACACTGATCCATTGACCGGGCTCATAATAATATAGCACCATGAGAATTCACTTGAGTGGAAATTGGCGATTTATATGTGGACTTATTACTGATATCAATAGTACCCACATAAAAGCATACATGATCACTCTGAAAATATTTAGTTGTTAGACTCGCAGTATCTCTGCATAAGCTGTTGGATCTGAAGCTCTGAGTTAATAGTTCTTGATCTCTTGCAGGCCCAATGCAGATCTCTCAGGAAGCCACGTCTGGGATGGGGAAGCGGCAGGAGTGTGCTGGATGTAAGAAGAACATCAGTGACCGCTACCTGCTGAAGGCTCTGGAGCAGTACTGGCACGAAGACTGTCTCAAGTGCTCATGCTGCGATTGCCGTCTCGGTGAAGTCGGGTCCACACTCTTCACAAAAGCCAACCTGCTTCTCTGCAGAAGAGACTATTTGAGGTGAGGTGCAGACAGGTGCTGGACACATTCACAATGATCAAAACATGACAGCTATTGTAATGCTTATATACTTCTCAAAAGAAGTTAAGAACCACCCAATTCTTTCATATTACCGATCATAGTAATCTGTCTTGACAGAATAACTATAATAATATGAAAGAATTGGGTGTCCCTTAACAGACTGCAATAATCATAAAGACTACACCAGTCATTAATCTGTAGATTAACATAGTGCAGTGATTGAATATTGGAACCAGTTTGAAGGACTGCTGATAATTATTCTATATAGAAACATTTCAAATCCAATTTTCTACAATTTTTAAGATGAAAACAGATCTGCTGAAATCAGTCACTGAAAGGCTGTAAATACTTTATAACTTTCAGAAGCTAGCAAAGTGTATAGATATCAACTGCTCCTTTGCAGCCCTCCCTGCACCACTTAGTTCTGATTTTAGACAAAGATGTTTTTAAGAGCAAAAAGCCAGATATTGTCTCGTAAATGTTGTGCTGATGGTAAATTACAATTTGCATTAACATTTACTTTCTTATGGCTTTATCTGCTTACTCAAGCCATGCTGATGGTATCATGTGACTACATGTTCAGCAAGTGCCCTTTTCATCCATGTACTGAAATTGATTCTGTCATGCTAAACCGTGTTGTTAAATTTTAATTTCAGATTATTTGGTACAACTGGCTACTGCTCAGCCTGCTCGAAGATGATCCCAGCGTTTGAGATGGTTATGAGGGCCAAGACCAATGTGTATCACCTGGAATGTTTTGCTTGTCAACAGTGCAATCACAGGTAAATTAACATATTCTTTATTCAGAATTTAAATTTAATAAATTTTTATACTATTTACCCCCAAAATAATGAATTGTTTTCTTTATACATAGTTTTAATATTTGAAAGGAAATCTGATATTCAAGGTACAAATACACCATGACGTTCAGTATAGAAAAAATCAATCCAGCAGTTCCCGCAGTTAAACGAATGTCTGCACAAGCGTACATGACCTTTGAAAAAATATCCTCTCATTAAATTGTCACTTTCCTGAAAGAACACTCGAGTCATATCCATTACATTTTAACACCACATAAGGAAATTCTCAAAGCAATATAAACTTAAAACAAGGGCCAACATGGCCCAGCTGACAGTTTTATGGGAGTCAGAGAGTTGACATCCTGATCTGAAGCTTCCCCTGAAGACACCATGTCAACACCCAACGGCACATCCAGAGTTTGTTTAGGTAAATCTTGGGGATAATTGTGCTGGATTAGGCTACCTGTTGCTCCTGTCTGCTCACCTGATGTGTTTATCACCTGTCTTAACGAGCCAACCAGGTACATGTGGCCTGGGGTTAGATGTGTGGAGGAGGTGGCAGGGGAATTAAGAGAGATTTATTGTGTCAACTTATCTAGAGTCTAGACGTAAGTGATCCTGACATCCGTACGAAATTTCATTGATGTGAAACAAATAAACCTGGATCAGCATGTCAATAACTTGACTGATATGTGATATTAATTTCAGAAAAAGAAAATATAATAAATATCAATTTTATCAATCACTTATATTTAAATTATTTATGAGAAAAGTGATTAGGTTAGATTAAATTTGTTACTTTCAGTTTTAGAAATAAAATAGGGAAAATCACCTTGTTTGCCAATGGAGAGTACAAATGATTAAAGGTCATGTTTTCCAAAATTCAAAAATAATTATATTCTTGGCATCATCAAATTAAGAATGTGTGTTAATGTTACCTAGTTTCTTTTCTACATGGGGGTGGTTGGGTAGCCTAGTGGTTAAAGCGTTTGCTCGTCACTCCGAAGACCCAGGTTCAATTCCTGACATGGGTACAATGTGTGAAGTCCATTTCTGGTGTCCCCCGCCGTGATATTGCTGAAAGCGGCGTAAAGCCATACTTACTCACTTTTCTACATGACTGAAGAAAGAAATTTGGTACTAATATTGTTAATCATATATATCGTAACTTGGATGAATTAAATATGATGCTAATTCTTTCATTTTGAAAATTACAATTTGTTATTTCTATGAGCAACGTATCTTTTAACACTCCAAACATCTGTTGATATCTTTAGGAATATGGTAAATGTCAATAAGACTTGAGTGAAGTACATTAAGCCTTATATCTGTTGCAGGTTCTGTGTGGGAGATCGGTTCTACTTGTGTGATAACAAGATACTGTGTGAATACGACTACGAGGAACGCATGGTGTTCGCCAACATGACCAACCTTCCAAACTACGGCTACAATGCCCTGTCCCAGATGAAAAGACAGACCCAGAGCCTGAGTGATGATGTGTCTAGTGGATACGGAAGTCCCAGCCCCAGCTCGTTATAGTCATCAATCCCTCGGCGCATGTGACAAACTTGTTGCAGTGCAAAACTGATGTACAGTTTCTTCATCATTGTTATTTCTCTGTTCTCAATCTTACAACCTGAACTTTGAAGTATGAGAGGTCATGCTATGAGTGTGGTGGTGTGACATTAGGGAGATAACTCTCAATGATTGATACAGAGTTATCTGCCCATGGTGTATATTACACATGTACTGTTGTGTATTCACATTTTAGTGTGCTTTGTTCACGTGCTGGATTTGACAAGAAGACATCTTGAATCATCGCAGAAATTGCAGTGTTACAACCCATGACCATTGATCAACAATTCATAAAATGGCAGCCAATGAAAGTTTGGCTCTTGCAAGGGAAGCAGTTGTGAATACTGTTCAAACGAGCAACTTTGTGTGCTACATCAACTTGTGATCACATTTTATGGATTTTTCTTTCTAAATTGATATTGACTGTGCCATAACACAACAACAGAGCATATTTATAGTGTTACATGTTTGAAAGCAAAAGGCAATTCTAGATGTGCATTGCTCACAAGTATGGATACTGCACTTGGTTCTAGGGTGAGGATAATACATGGTAAAACAAGGTTCATGATCACATTTCAAAATGTTAACTGTTACAATGCTTATATTGTGCATTACAAAGAGAAATTTAACAAAAGTATAAAAAAATTAAAACTTATTTAATTGATAATGCATTGTCAACATAAGATGAAGCTTTAATATATATTTATGTGTTATTATTATGAAATTGATCATGGTCCTTCTGCATATGAATACAAGTGTTTCATGTGCTTGTGTATTCTAGTCAACTCATGCAGTTTCCCTCCAACTGTATATACTGCAATCCAAAGATGTACATATAATGATGAGGGTTTAGAGTTGACATTAGATTCCACAAGGAAACACATTATTTTATTTATTAAATTTCATGGTTTGTTTATAATTAAATATCAAACTTGTTAATTTGTTTGTTCTTGAATCACTCTTGAAAATCTGGTATTTATGGAAAGACTTGATATTGCACTCGATAGATTTTCATTTTGTTAATTAATTAATTTGATGTGAATGGTTTTAGAATAAGAATAAGAGATATACTTATGTCCTGAAAAATGTTTTGTTTAAAATGTAATTATTTCAATGATTTCAATGAAACCGTTGAAAGGTTAGATAAATTTGATTTCTAAAAAATGCTTGAAGTGAAGTTCATTTTATTTATGATTCTTATTATCTTTGTGCATTATTAAAGTGAAATAATGACCTGGTTGTTTTCATTTTCAATATTGCTCATTTGTATCACACTGTTTTTCCAATTCTGAGGTGCAATGTTACTTTTTGTTTGTTTACGTACATTTCAGGATGTGACAAATAGTTTGTTAAAAGGCTGGCATCAACAGGTTACAACTGAACTTGTATAGACTCTCACCAGTAAAACTGGTTCATGATTAACAAACTCTTTCAACATCTACAGAAACAAGGGGGCAGGCCCTTTGCCACAATTCACATGCAGAGTTACCCCCCTTTGTTACCAGGATCTGCTGGTCATTTCAAACACCTTATGAACTTCATCAGTATGACTTGCCTAATACATGTCAAACATGAAATATTAAACAAGACTTAAATGGTGGCATGTCCGTATGATTCAGTCGAACAATGATATGCTATTCCAAAATACGTTAAGCCTAAAATAAGATCTTCTCAACACAAAAAAATATTCTTTTGCTGTATTATATAGTTGGAAATATTTTTTTGATGTATTTAAATTCATAAATATAGGCCAATGGTTTCGGCATGATATTTTCAGTTTTGACATGACTAGTAACCTGTTGATGTGAAAGCCGACCACAGGCACTTGATGCGGAGAGAAAAACATGTATAAAATACAATGAAAAAGGTCTTCATGTTGTAGATTATGTTTCTTGTTTGCATCAAGTGTCTTTCCCACTTGTGGCAGTCCAGTTATTGTTATGAGTGCTTTGTTGTGCGATACTATAACAATGATCTCTTCAGTCAACATCAACAGTCTTTCTTCTCTCCCACTGTCATTCAATTTGGCCTGCAAAAATGTGTGTTTCCAATTTCCCTCCCCAAATCTGGAGCCCCTGATCCAAAACGTTTTTCACTATCCAGTATTGTACGGATTTTGTCCCACATGTATAAATTTGTTGCACTTAGTTATACATAAACCGGTCATCTTCATTTGAAAGCAGGCTGCAATTTGCCATTAAAAAAACAAGAGAAGTACCACCACCACCACCACCCCCACCCACCAGCCCCCTATTTGAATAGGCTGAAAAAAGAAACACACATATTGGTAGTGGGGAGGGGAATAGTATCTTTAGTGAATTTAACTTGAGAATGATTGTCAGTATGTTTGCGGTCACATATTGCAGAATGGATATCATAGTAATATTCAACTCAAGTCATTTTTACTAACTTCATTGAAGAAGCCTTAACAAGAGTTTCATAGCACCTGAAAGTCGGCCAACTAGTTATCAACCTGGTGGAGTATTTATTTGTTCTTTCTTGACCTAATGCCTGTTTCAAAATTCAGACTTGCACAAAACCTTCATAGGAAATGGGTAAATGAAAACAATAATTATATGTACTTACAACAAGCACTAAAAGCATAATGAAAATAATTATCAAAATAGAACCTGTTTCAAATGAGTACTTATAAGAAGACATTTTTTTTAACACATTTCTCAAATAGATTTAATGATACATTACAGTTAATTAGTTGATATATTTGAGAGAGGAAGAAAGACTGTATTATCCAAATGTGTGTTTTTGTAACCCCCTCATATTGTATCATTTCTCATGAAAACCTTACACCCCATAATCCAAGATGGCTGTAAAATCCAAGATGGCCGAACTAGTGTAAACTTGGATGTCACACTTATCTCACTGTCTGTTCAGGGATATTGTACAAATATTTCATGAAAACTGTAAGTTTCTGCAAGTTTTTTTAACCCCACTTCATTTCATAATGAATTCTGCATTCCATGGCTGCCACAGTATTCAAACTAAAATCATACTTTCTACAACTGTTCTTAAACATGTTCCCCCCCCCCCCCAAAAAAAAAATATTCTGAAAATACTTGAAACAATGCCAGAAGACTTGCAAATTCTTTGACTACAAGGTGTTTCTCATGTCCAAGTTTCTGGTGTCCCGCGCCGTGATATTGCTGGAATATTGCTGAAAGCAGCGTTAAACCATCTCACTCACACATCACTCACTCACTCCTGTCCAAGCCACAAGGGGTGAGTTTTTAATCAAAGTACATATAGTGCCCCAAATTATCAAAATGCATATATCAAAATTTGGGAAGATATATTACGATTATTTTGTTTATGGATTAGGACACATCTTTAATATACAATAATCTCAGAAAACAAAATGACATGAAGTAGAAAATAATTACAAGCGCTACAATATTTAAACAAATTGTTTTCATATACATATATTAATAATCTTTGTTGAAAGCATAGTTTCGAAAATGGCATAATCACTAAATATTTATTTCTTAATGAACTATTTTTATTTGCTCAGGATTACACCAAAACAGTATTTGAGGTTTTCAATTGTTCTGTTTTGTGTCTGATACCATTCTAGTCAGTGAGGGTGTAAGGTTGATTCTAGTCTTCATGTATGTATATATGGTTCATTGATTGGAGGTCATGTGACGGTCATGTGATGGTCATGTGACGGTCATGTGACGCTCAGTCCTCATGTATCATAATTTCATTATCATTTCTGTTGGAGAGATGATGTGTAATTTAAATGATGGATAGAGAATAAAACGATAAAATTGCCAGCTCTTTGTTTTTATACATATTGTTAATGTGTGCACGGCCAAGAACGGAGTACCATCATCAGGTGGGTGTTTGTTACCCTTCCTCTCACATCTGCCCTTTGCAGCAGATCATGTGACTCATCACTGAACAGGTTGTTACTCCACCACAGCAGACCGCATCCCTAGTATAGTGGATTGATCGTTTGACCTGATATCACCTCCACGGTGTAGTGGATAGAGCGTCTGCCCAGAGACCACCTCTGTGGTGTAGTAGATAGAGCATCTGCCCAGAGACCACCTCTGTGGTGTAGTGGATAGAGAGTCTGCCCAGAGACCACCTCTGTGGTGTAGTGGATAGAGCGTCTGCCCAGAGACTGCCACTGTGGTGTAGTGGATAGAGTGTCTGCCCAGAGACCACCTCTGTGGTGTAGTAGATAGAGCATCTGCCCAGAGACCACCTCTGTGGTGTAGTGGATAGAGCGTCTGCCCAGAGACTGCCACTGTGGTGTAGTGGATAGAGCGTCTGCCCAGAGACTGCCACTGTGGTGTGGTGGATAGAGTGTCTGCCCAGAGACTGCCACTGTGGTGTAGTGGATAGAGTGTCTGCCCAGAGACCACCTCTGTGGTGTAGTAGATAGAGCATCTGCCCAGAGACCACCTCTGTGGTGTAGTGGATAGAGAGTCTGCCCAGAGACCACCTCTGTGGTGTAGTGGATAGAGAGTCTGCCCAGAGACCACCTCTGTGGTGTAGTGGATAGAGCGTCTACCCAGAGACTGCCACTGTGGTGTGGTGGATAGAGTGTCTGCCCAGAGACTGCCACTGTGGTGTAGTGGATAGAGTGTCTGCCCAGAGACCACCTCTGTGGTGTAGTAGATAGAGCATCTGCCCAGAGACCACCTCTGTGGTGTAGTGGATAGAGCATCTGCCCAGAGACCACCTCTGTGGTGTAGTGGATAGAGAGTCTGCCCAGAGACCACCTCTGTGGTGTAGTGGATAGAGCGTCTGCCCAGAGACTGCCACTGTGGTGTAGTGGATAGAGTGTCTGCCCAGAGACCACCTCTGTGGTGTAGTAGATAGAGCATCTGCCCAGAGACCACCTCTGTGGTGTAGTGGATAGAGAGTCTGCCCAGAGACCGCCTCTGTTGTGTAGTGGATAGAGCGTCTGCCCAGAGACCACCTCTGTGGTGTAGTAGATAGAGCATCTGCCCAGAGACCACCTCTGTGGTGTAGTAGATAGAGCATCTGCCCAGAGACCACCTCTGTGGTGTAGTGGATAGAGCGTCTGCCCAGAGACCACCTCTGTGGTGTAGTGGATAGAGCGTCTGCCCAGAGACCACCTCTGTGGTGTAGTGGATAGAGGGTCTGCCTAGAGACCACCTCTGTGGTGTAGTGGATAGAGCCTCTGCCCAGAGACCACCTCTGTGGTGTAGTGGAAAGAGTGTCTGGCCAGAGACCACCTCTGTGGTGTAGTGGAAAGAGATCTGCCCAGAGACCACCTCTGTGGTGTAGTTGATAGAGCATCTGCCCAGAGACCACCTCTGTGGTGTAGTGGATAGAGTGTCTGCCCAAAGACCACCTCTGTGGTGTAGTAGATAGAGAGTCTGCCCAGAGACCACCTCTGTGAGGGAGTGGATAGAGTGTCTGCCTGGAGCCTGCCTCTGTGGTGTAGTGGATAGAGCATCTGCCCAGAGACCACCTCTGTGGTGTAGTGGATAGAGAGTCTGCCCAGAGACCGCCTCTGTGAGGGAGTGGATAGAGTGTCTGCCTGGAGCCTGCCTCTGTGGTGTAGTGGATAGAGCGTCTGCCCAGAGACCACCTCTGTGGTGTAGTGGATAGAGTGTCTGCCTGGAGACTGCCTCTGTGGTGTAGTGGATAGAGTGTCTGCCCAGAGACTTCCTCTGTGGTGTAGTGGATAGAGTGTCTGCCCAGAGACCACCTTTGTGGTGTAGTGGATAGAGAGTCTGCCCAGAGACTTCCTCTGTGGTGTAGTAGATAGAGATCTGCCCAGAGACCACCTCTGTTGGTGATTTGATACCCTGGTTTCCGCAAACCATGGATGGTAAAATATGCTACTTGATGTTACCCTGCCTGGTGTTCAGCATTAATAGGACCAAGGACTGGTTGGCTCGGAGTCAGTATACTGTGTCTGTATGGGGTATGCAAGTTAAACTTCAGCATGGTATCTCAGTGGGCTAGAACTATAAAACCGGCATAAGTCCAGACTAATACAAGCAGTAACACACACTGCATGTCGCTCTATAAGCACAATAATTTTGAAGGAAACTATAAACTCCTCACCTCCACCACAGCAATGGACAAACACGGTGACGATTACACCACTGTTGACATTTAGTGTGGTGAGGTCATGTCAGATGAGGTGAATCCAAAATTATTGCACTTACATACCAATGTGCATGCACGTGTGTGTGTGTCTGCTTGTACTAAGCCGGACTAATGCCAATTTTATAGTGCTATGAAATACCATGCCGCAGTTTAAAATGAATACCTCATTCAGACACAGTATACTGACTCCAAGCCAACCAGTTCTTGTTTTAGCTCCTTAATGTCAAGTCCCAGGCAGGGTAACAACAAGTACCATCATTTAACGTTTTTTGGTATGATGCAGCAGGGGATCGAACCCTGGACCTTTACACTCCCCGTGCAGACGCTCTACTACTAGACCACGGAGGCAGTCCCCATGATGTCTGTCTGTTGGCCAGGTCAAGGTGAAGGTCAGGTCAGGTTTCTGGTAGCTGTTGTGAAGTGACTACAAAGTCAAATGTAGCAGTCCTGTGTGGGAGTCCTGTGTAGGAGTGGTAACTCTTAGTGTTCCTGCCTTGAGCCTATCTGAGATAATTCAGAAGTGGTGAATGCATCCACATCCTGTTGATGGCACTAGTTGTAAGTGAGTTGGACTTAATTCCACTTTGATCAGTACTCAAGCCGTGTCAGCTTGATGTGGGAGGAAAGTCCCAAGCAATGCAGGTCTTACATGTTTACCACTTTTGTGAACCAATGAGCACGGGTATGGTGCTGACATACCTAGAAACAATCAGGGTGAACCGGGATTCAAACCCACAATCATAGGTTTCTCGCATGCCAAAGGGATGCAATTTGCCCAGCAAATTGTAGCACCTCAGACGACTGGACCACCCTTGTCACCTAGGTGGCCTAAGTCATGTTCTGCTGGGTTAGCCTAGCCAAAATAGGTCTGATGGCATTCTGATGTTGGTCTTGTGTCCGCCTTGTTATTGTTCATCTTCAGTTATAAGAAATCTGACATGTCAAGATTGAAATCCTGTCATTTTTATAGCCCAGTGGAAGCACATGGCAAAAGAGCATCTCATATTGCACATGAATGCTTACAGAATTGGTGATACCTTTTGACATGAAACTTCTCTGTGGTTGTGATTTGACAATTGCTGCTTGTTTCTGTCCATGTTCAGTTCAATAATAATAATAATAATAATAATAAGTGCATTTATAATGCACCAGATTCCAAGTGGATGCTCATGGTGCTACACTATTATTACCATTGTGAATGGATCAGTGTGCACAAGGTTTTCATTCTCAGCTCCCTGGGGAGTATACAACCCAAGCTGCCCGTGAGGCGCTAGAAAGTTAACAGCCACATTGCCATCTCATCCTACCTGGTACCCACTCAATGCCGGGTGAACAGAGGTACATTTTGAACAAACTCACTTGCCTAAGATACAGGCTCATTGTTGATTCTGTGCATTTATATAGACCTACAGTAGCAATAATATATAGTTCCCAACATGTTTCCAGTGAAACAGTGAATTGTAAATGAGAGAGAATATATTACATATAATATAGATACAAGAGTCATAGCTCAGTAGAACTGTCTACATGCAAATAAACTACTGTTCAACATTATATCACTCTGGAATGCAATGATGTTATACAAGTGATGAAATCATATATGCTCCAATCACAACTGAACTGCCTGTTTAGCAGAATACTGTCAATCAAAGTAATTTGGTGATTTATAATTCAATTCTCAAGTCTTATGATCACAAAATGTATACATATACAGTAAAAAATTATCCACACTTCATGGCTTCAAACTGGCAAATGTTTAACACCTGTGTCACTCCCACACCAAGTTAACACACAGTGATATGACTGAAAGACTGTTCCAAGCAGCATTTAACTCACTCACCCAAGGTTTCAAATCCTATATAACGATTTTTTCCACCAATCAGACTGCAGCACACACTCAGAGTCAATTTACATCATATGGGGGCAAAGGTATTTGCGTTGGGTTGCCAGTGTGCCCTGCTCATTAATTTGGGAGTTGGCGCCGGGTCAATTTTGCGTATTTCAGCTTTTGATTGCGTGCTGCAACTCAACATGACTTTAACTAACACAAGGAGTTACCAAGGAAGACAACTGTAGTAATTACCACCACTGGAACATTGTAACTTTATCATCGGGATTTAATATCAGTTTATCCTGACACGATGTTTTGGTGCACACAGCATGCTTTAATGAATAAAACCTGTTCCATCCACTATACATTTTACAAAGACAGAAATATTTGCGGTGTTTGACTTTGCGTTTTTGGGAGGACTGAGAATCGGGTGTATGACTGAGAGGATTGAAAGAGTTGAGAATGGAATTATTTGACTGAGAAATGGGAAGGTTAAAAATGGATGATTTGACCTTGTGTCTGTCTGTTCTGTTTGTTGTTTAACACTGCACTCAGCAGTATTCCAGCTATATGACGGCCAACCGGCCATAAATAATCGAGTCTGGACCACACAATCCAGTGATTGACATCATGAGCATCGATCCACACAATTTGGATATGATGACATGTATCAATCTTCTGACCGGCCGATCCCGTTAGTCGCCTCCTACAACAAGCATAGTCGCCTTTTATGGCAATCATGGGTTGCTGAAGACCTATACTACATCCATTTATCCTTGTGAATGTGTGAATGTTTTGGTGCACACAGCATACTTTAATGAATAAAACCTGTTCCATCCACTATAC